CCCCTCACCCCTCCCCCTCCTCCGGAACAACGTCGTGCCGGCGCAGAAACCACAATCCCCCGCGCCGCGTCAAAGGCGGCTTCCCCGGCGGCGAGTGACGCTGCACGGCGCCGGGTCCACTTGATGCCGATGACGTTTGATGACGACGAAACCGCGGAGACGGTGTCTCCCGCCCACCCGCCGCCGCGGTCTGGTAACCACAAGTCGCAAGGCGGGGTGGGGCGTGGCGGGGTGGGGTGAGGAGGCGGGGCGGCGTAGAGGGGCGCTGACACGCACCACGAGGGAACGCCCTCCCTGCTTGCTCCATGCCCCGTCGCCGAGCACCGCGCTAGTCCCTCTCCCTACTGAACACACCCCGCCCTCACGTTGTCGGCGGCAGGTATTTCGCCAGCGCGAGCGCACGGCAGGGCAAACTTTGCCCTTAAGGGACTTTGTTGAGCAGTCCAACATATATACGGAACCGACTCACTTCCTTGCGGAGCCGCTCGTACTTTCAGTAGGTTTCTGGAGCCTTGCCAACAAACTTGACCGCCCGATTTACTTTTCCGCTACTCTGTGTGCGGTTTTCGCCCCGTATCCCATAAACTGAGCCCACTTGCGAGAGCGTCCGACGCAAAACCACATAATGTAGGCAAATGCCGGGTCGTCCGACGACTAGTTCCCAGGGAAAATGCATGCCATGCTTTAGTATTGTGTTACGTTTTAAGGCACGAAAAAAAGCAAGATGAATCCGTCCACGGTGCCTAAAGGCCCGATGGGTGTGTAGGCAACCCGCCTACACGTATGTATCGCGGTACAGTATCGCCAGGACACGCCGGCCCACGCCACCTGACACGGCCATGCGGCGGGGTGTTCGTTCTAAGTGAGCCGCCACTGCCGCCGAGACCCAGTACTGCCTTGGCAGTCGGACACTTTAGAAACTTGGACAGTTGGAGCTCTGGCGCCGACTCCCCAAGTCGGCAAGAGTTGTTGTTAAACCCCGTCACCCCGCTCGCTGAGCCTTTCGTCCTGAACCCTGTAACCCCCGTGTGTTCCAGGATGCGAATCGCGGTGCTGGTGGCCTGCCTGGCCCTGGTGGCCGCCGCCGCCGCCGTCACGACGGCCGACCCCGCGGCCGACGCCGAGGTGAAGGCCCCCGCCGAGCCTGCCGAGCCCCACCGCGGTCAACCCGACGAGCCGCGCAGCCGGCCGCAGCGCTGGGTCGTGTTCAGGCCCATGTTCGCGACACGCGGCCGTCAGCGGCAGCTCAACCGGGCCTGGAAGGTCCACGAGCTCCGGCGCCAGTCCCGGCCACGCGGCCAGCGCCACCGCCGAGCGCTGCACTTCCCGGTAAGCATGCTATCTATGGAGGCCTGTGCGATCACGAGAGAGGCAGACGAAGAAATACGTGAACATCCTCACAAAAGAAATCAGAAACACGTGAAATATCGATTTTTAAAAAATCAGGACAAATCAGAGTATAAACAAAACTACGCTAGTTTATAGTGAAGTACCCCTCAGAGTTCAATATACGACGTACTCGATGTTGTGCGTTTTCTGTGCGCAGACGGGCGGAGCGAGTAGCGGTGACGAGTCCGGGCTGGCGCTCCGGGTAGCCGTCAACGACCTGCTGTTCCAGTCCGCGCCCGCCAACGACCTGCCCGAGGCGACGGCGCGCGTCGTGGCGCCGGGCGCGCCGGGCGGCGCCGGCCTGCGGCCCATGCTGCTGGCGCGGCTGCGCGGCGCGAGCCGGGTGCGCGAGCCCGCCGCCGAGGAGGAGGCGTTCCTGCTCATGTCCGCGGCCGGGGGCCGGCCCGCCATCGTGCCCGCGCCCACGACCCGGCCGCGCTACCAGGCGCCCGCCGCCCACAAGAAGCAGGCCCACCACAAGCACAAGCCGCGCAAGGGCGACAAGCAGCGCAGGCGCGTGGTCCGCGACACGAGCGTCGTCGCGGCCCTGGGCCAGCGGCTCGACGCCGCCATGGCGGGCAGCGTCCAGGAGCGCGGCGCCATCGCCGAGCGCGTCAAGAAGTACGACGCGCAGGGCATGTACCCGGCCTACTCGTACACCAACGGCCGCTACACGCGCGCGGCGGCCGCGGCCGCGGCGGCGCCCGCCAGGGACGGCGTCAAGGTCATGAAGGTCAAGGTGCAGGGCGCGGTCGACGACGAGGACGAGGAGGAGGAAGGCATGGAGGCGGCCGAGACCATCGTGTTCCGCCCGCTGTTCGTGCACCGCGACAGGCAGGCCGTCAAGCAGGACGCCAGGAGGCGGCGCCTCGGCTTCGCCAAGAAGTCCACCAAGCCGGCGGCCAAGCCGCTGAGGAGGCGCCCCGCGGCCGCGGCCGCACCGACCGCCGCCACCGCGCTCCCCGTCAAGAGGCCGTCCGCCGCGGCCGCCTACTTCCACCGCAGGACGTACCTCAAGTACCCGCCGCGCTACCAGTACTCGCCCTACAGGAGGGTCGTCTACTACAACTGAGGGCGACGAAGAGAGCGGAAAATGAGAGACAGTCTTGAGGACTGTCTGAAAAAAAAAGAGAGACAGCACGCCGAAAACGTCGACCCCGTGAGCCCGCTGGACGCTGCGCATCCTGGAGATGAGCTCGGCGGCGAGGGCTTCTCGTCCCCATTCGCGAGGTCGTGCCGCACCACCAGGCAGTGCAGCGCCCCAGCGGGAGAGCAAGTGCTGACGAAAGCGTGGAGAGGGAAAGGTGCAGGTCTTGTGCGGTGAGCGAATTAGAGAAGGCGGCGAGCGAGAAAGACAGACAGACAGAGAGAGAGGTAAATGGTGAGAAGGCGAGGCTCCAGAGAATGAGAGAGAAAGGGAGACAGAGAGCGAGAGGAGAGAGACAGAGGTAAAGTCGTGCGGCGACCGCATCGCCGCCGGGCGTTGGCGGTCCGTGGAAGAGGAAGTTCGCGCGCAAACAGTTTACAGTTCCTAGTCAAGTCACACGTGTTTTCGACTTATCTCGAAGTACTTACGTGACAGTAGAGCGGTGCACTGGATAAGACAAAGATAGGGGGCTTGGTACATGGTGAAGGTGATGAACTTGAGTGCCTGTATAAATCGCGAAAACCGATTCAAGCGCCCCAAATGCACTTTGAGAGCGTTCCAGTGCCCAGAGGCGCTAAAATTTTAAATCTGAGTGGCATATTCCAGCCTCTTCCTAAACTGAAATTGAAATTATAAGCACTTCTAGAATGGTATGCGAAGTTCAACATTCGGATCCAAATAATCGAGAAGTAGATAAACTTGATTACGTAAGTTATTGTGATATTCTCTAGTGTTTTGTTTCTAGCGGTA